TATATATATATATATATATATATATATATATATGCAAATTACGTATATTTATACGTAAAGACCCTCTTGCACTATTCAGCAACCAACCTCAAAAACTCCATTTATTTTGTCTATTTTCGGAAAACGTAATGTTCGGCTTTATTACTTACCATACCCTCGTTTTGCAGTAGTGCCTTAACAGAGAAGCACCACAAAATATAATACGCTAACGAGAAGACACCTGATGTATTTCCGTTAGCTTTTTCTGAAAAGAACCGATAAAAAATATTGAAAACTTTTGACCTCCACTAACTGTGAAGCAATTCGGCGACAATTCTTCTCCCCGTATATCACAGTTCGTTCAGGTAGCTTTTCCTTCAGTACGGCAGAACATCTTGCTCCGATGAAACAACCATTTGTCACAATAGTCTCTGGGCCGATTTTACAACGAACACCAAATACATTGCTATTGCCTATGTGAAGCGCGTTCACCACTAAAACACGAGTGCTATCATTTGAGAGATTTGGCTGATTAACCACAAAAAGGGCTCTACCTGAACCAATCTCAAAGACATTTTCATTTCCAATCACCATTTCTTCGCCATTTAGTGAACTGAAAGCAGTAATTCTCAGAATGAACGAGATGTAGACGAAAGAGCAAAAAATTTAGCATAATAAAAGCAAAAAAACCAAGGAACTCGTCTATTTCAGTTCTTCTATTGCACACAGTTGATAAGTCAAATGCTTAATTTAAGCAAAAACAAGTAATAAACTTAAAAAACAATCAAAATTTACAAAGAAAGCCACCAAAGAATTTATATTTCAATAAATAAGCAAGCAAGTAAAATAAACAACCAAATGCGAAAGGAAACCAATCAGATCCTTAAGAAGCATAAAACAGCATCATCAAAATTTACATATTTTCAATGACAGCCGTTTCCTCGACATTATTATTCTCACCAATTACGATTGGGCCATTTGTAGCCTTAATGACAGCTGTAGGATGAATGATTGTACCTAAATAATCAGGAAATCATAAACCTCGCAATACCTTATCTACATTAATCGAAAACTGAAATTTCTAAGGGTGATCAACAAAAGTAGTAATTTTTTGATCACAATAATAACAAAAATAGTAAAAATAATAATCAAGAAACATGTAGTTCCAGAAAAACTTACCGGACCCAATTGTAATGTTACCTTCCAAAACTGCTTCTTTACAAACTAGCGCACCCGGAGCAACATTTACACTGGAATTTTAAAAATGAATCATTTCAGCCCTACCTCAAGAATAACAGTGAAGAAATAGCAAGCAAACATAAGTTACGTAAATCAATCTTATAATCTAATAAAATGCCACGAAACTATGTGCCCAAACAAGGTAACTCACTTTCTTTCGACAGTCATTTCCACCAGACTTGGTCAGAAACGGTTCCAAACCATGCACTTCCAAGGAAGAAAAAGAAAAGAAGCTCAACGATCACAACGAACTTTACAGACAATAGTTGTATAACAACAATCTGCTCAACAAAACAGGTATTTCAGCAGGAGGAACTTTTGCTACTAGTCAAACTTGACTGATCCACAACTTATATTTTAGCAAGGATTTGAGGTTGATTACCAGTCAGATTCTGGCCAAACGAAACAGTTCATACTCTGGCAAAAATCCAATCACGAAAAACTTTTATTCATCGCTGTACTGACTGATATTGTACGTAGGAGTTAATTAAGTAACGTTTGAAAAAATGATCCTGATTGCCAGAGTCTATCCACTTTTAGTAAGTAATAGTTCCATGTAAGTGAATACGATTTTAGAGTGTTCATGCTTAAATTTTTTCCTAGTCAATTTGCTTTTTTTTAACTTTGCCCGTCGTACTTATCAGTTCAATTTCTTACTCGAGGTACTGTTCCCTGCAACATATGTTTTTTCCGTGGTAACAGTTCTAAAATGTTTGGGAGATTCTGTGGTAAACTGTATGCTTTTTCACATATTCTTTCAGGATTTTCTTCAAATTTTGTTGACAGGTAGAATCTGACTTCTAATTTAAAAGGGCCGAAAAAGAACCTTGAGAAAATCAATTACCCACTAACGTAAAGCCTGTCAAAAAGCACCTATTTCTCATGCTTTTGCTCAGTCATGCTCATTTTTAAGAGCATGCATCTGTATTGTGTGTGTATCTGGGAACTAATGTAGTCAAGTAAAATTCGAGGACGAATTGAAAAAAACATGGCAGCTTGCTTTTCTTTCTTCAAACATTACGCAGAATCTTGTGCTCTTCAAAATAGAAAACTTCCGGGAATGGAAAATTTTGAATCCGAGAATTACACAGTCTTGAAATTGACACTTAGCGCATTTTGTCAAGATTTAGCGCCAGAACTGATTTCCTAGCATTTTTGCTGCAATTCTGTTTGTTATTGCAGAACCCGCTTCAGTGGGGAATCTCATTAAAATGCGCTGAAATCACACCTTTTGGCTTAAACAATTAGTTGTAATTCCGCGTGTTTTGAAAGAAGGCTTGGATGAAGTTTTTTCACTAGCTGTTGATTTTAAAAAACTGCTCTTCGGCTTCAGCCAAAAACAAGTCATTTGGTTGGGAAGAGTGACCCATCAGAGCGTGTACCTGAATGTTCCTTCAGTTTCCAAAGTTCAAGAAATTCACATTTTCTAGCTGGGTAACTTGGAAGTTATTGGCCATGTGCAGCCGTGAATTACCTGTGACGCTCTCGTAGAGAAAGGTTCCTATTTATGGCTTCCTCTGTCTTGAATTTTTAAGGCGTTTATTCTACATTTATGTCTTCAACTAAAGGCCAGCGTTCACTTCAAGTCACCTCCAACAATTACTAATCCATTTTAAAAATATTCATATCATTGTGTTTTATTTGTTTAAATGGAGGTTATTTTTTCAACATAGAATGATTAAATTTGCCGGGAAGGTTTTCAGCAACGTTCACTTACGTCAAAAACACGAGAACGACGTCTCAGAAAACGTCGGAAACGAGTAAGAGCCTAAGGATTTAAAATATATTAAATGAACAGACAGTAGTAGTTGCCAACATATATACTTTCACCGTAAAACTACATAATTTCTTGAAAGCACCATTCTTATCTGTGTTTTGGAAATATTTCTGACAGTTTTAACTTTCAACATCTGTTTTACGTGTTTTTGCCTATTTTAGAATCACTGGTGCTCGTAAACGCTAATCTTGTTTTTTAAGGCGGAATGGTTTGGAGGAACGCTGCTAGGTTATTGGGCGCGGTGGCGGCTTCGGTTGCTAGAGCCTTTGGAAGAGCTGTGAGAGAAGAAATAAATAGTAAGCAACTATAAATCTAGGGGACTTTATTTTAAAGACGTTCTAGCGAAATTTCTTAGCTAAAAGTTTGTTCCCATTTAGTGAGTAAGCAGGCAGCTGCAAGAGCCACTGAACAATCTGGTCGTCCTGCCTCCGAAACGCGTAAAGCTGGAGAAACTAATGCGAGGCTAGGAATTACTTTGCAGGTTTTCTTTAAGATTTATGTGTTTTGCTCTGGGGTCTTATTAGAGGTAAAAACTGTAGTTGAGTACGTTGTGAGCAAAACACAATTTCCGTCTTGATTGGAATTTAAACTTTATTGTTTTGAGGAAGCCATGCAAATATTGAATGTTAAGCAGCCTTTAAATGCAGAAGAGATAGAGGAGAATTATAAGCGTCTGTTTGAAATTAACGACAAGTCTAAAGGAGGATCTCTGTACCTACAGTCAAAAGTAAGCAAACTACGAATTATATGTTAGTCGTGCATTTGCTGAAATCTTCACTTGAAATTTGAAAGCAACAAATATTAAATTAATATATTCTTTGGACTTTTGCTGACTGGAAAAATATCTTATATATTTATTTTT